AAAAAAAACTATATCCATATGTATGTGCACCTCCTCCAATTTGTACATTTGTCACTCTATCCGCTCACCTACCCACCTGCTTTAAGAATTTTCATTTGGCAGGTGCACACTAATTTTATCACACTTTGCTATAAATTATATGTTGCCCTCACAAAAAAAAAAAAAAAAAAAAAAAAAAAAAAATCTCAAATTGAATAGGCTGCACAAGTTAGTCGAGTAAACGATCGCAACAAAACATTGGGCTAAAACAATTCACCTTCATCAATCTCCCAGAATGCCTCGATGCAGCTCTCATCGGCGCAGTTGGCAGGTCTGAGCCCGTTGCCATTTTTCTTGCTCGGGTTCGCGCCGAGTCTTAGCAGCGCCTTGACCACTGCAGGCAATGCATTGAAGCTTGTGAGATGCAGGGTCGTGTTTCCTTTACCACATTCCTGCTCCATCATCACCTGCACAGGCTTATCGGACCCCATGACGGCCGCGGCTGCGGCACGTGTGAACTCGAGCGCAGAGTCTTCGGCGCCAAGGATGCAAGTAAGCTGAAGCGCCGAGAGAAGGGCGGGTTGCTGGCCGAGAAGCTTGGCGAACTCTGGATCGAAGGTATATGTCTGCGCGGGGGGCTGTGTTGGCATGGGAGCAGGCGAGGAGGACGTGCAGGGCCATGACCTGATCGGCGAGCTCGAGGGCCGTCAGTGCGCGTAGGATGGACTGCCAGAGGATCTGTTCATCCGGAGGTGAGCAAAAATGCTGTAAAGGCCGAGGTGGGGGAGCTCGGACGAGCGGGGCCAGGGGTAGCCGGACGGTGTCTGCATTTACGCGCTCACTGCCGTTGATGAGCATTTCCGTCGCTAGTACCGTTATTATTACTATTAGCTACCGCTCATTGCCAAGCAACATTGCATCACTGCCGCTTCCATTTCCGTTCGCGCTAAATAAAAGGACACCAAACTGCAAAGTTCGTTCTTTCTTTCCCCCTCTCTTTTGATTTCATACAGATTTGTACGTGTTCCCTGTTGACTCGTAGTAGAAAGGTGACTAGCTATGGGTAAAGCAGCCGCGTGCTGCCATTCGGCTGCACATTTCCCTCCAAATTAAATTAGCACTACCAGTGTAATTGATAAAGCAGCCGCAATTAATACTGCGCGCTGCCCCATTCTGGCTGCATATGCTCCTTTCGCTTTTTCCCTACTTTTTCTATATTTTCCACTTTCTATATCTTCCCCCGTTTTCTCCATTTCTCTGTAACGACCATGAATCGACCTAAAATAAAGGTTTAATAAATAAAAAAATATTAAGCATTTCGTTTTACATTCAAGTTTCACCATTAGGAACGGACCATAATGTATATTTATCCGGGCCAGAAAATAAATATCCCATTGCTTTTAAAAACGCGCAACGCCGCTAACCACAAAAGCGAGTATTGTCTCAAATGAATAGTCAACTTAAGGAAGGCTGCTCTTGACGAGTGAATCTCGATTCCAGAGTATTGTAACTTCTGTATAAGACCCCATGGAGCTTTATTGTTTTAGTTTTAGTAACGGGGGGGTATATATTTACAGGAATATAGTAATGATGATGATGAATAGTATTATTATGTTGAGAGGGAACTTTATTCGGGGGGTCTTATACGGAAGTCTACGGTATATGTCTCCATCCAACTGCTCTTCTATTTTCCTTTTGGTTTTTATCCTAATATTGGAATTAATAGGCTTCTTAACATTGCTCTACAAGGTGAAGCTGGAAACAAGTTCTACTGGAAATCGATCACACAAACTCGAACTCGATAGCAGATTGGTAAACATCATAGGTGTTGCACGCTCAGCTTTTAGTGGAAGTAAAAAAAAAGGTATATAGGGTATTATAAGATAACAAATATTGTGGCAAAGTGACAACTTGTCCGAGTGGTTATGGAGCTTGACTCGAAATCAAGTGGGTTTCACCCGCACAGGTTCGAATCCTGTAGTTGTCGACATTTTTTTACATTTATAATTTTTATATAATTTATATATTTATTTGACCATGAGGAGGTGAAGTAAACCCGACACTCCGATTTTTACATGAACATCTTTTACGACGTGGAGTTTGCAATGCTAGATCAGGGTTAGGGGTGCTACCCATTTACATGTAAAAGATTTAATAATAAAAAGTAAGAGTAAACAAACTCATCTGTTCTCTATTTTCCGTAATTTTTTTGTCTGCCAGATTATAAGGTGAGTAACTACTTATGAAAGTGCGATACTAAGATGACCATGTTGATTGTAATGATCAATCTCACCAATGACCGTTGAACTTATGGACGTGCTCACTGAGTTCGATGATATTACTAGAACAGTTATTATTATTCAGAGAAAGTAGGTCGTTCTGGCTAAACACTGTTGACTACCTGTTGGAACTCCATGTTCATAAATGAATAATGGTGACCAACGTGGTGCGGAGGGCAAAATTGTGAAGGCCAAAATAGAGCACTCTGTAAACCCGTTGCGCAAACATTTACTACACGGATATCCGTCTTGACTGATTTCCGAAATCTACCCGGATATCGTATTTGCGCAAACTCTCTTGGGTCATTTAGAACATTATGCCAGGCAGCCACGCTATGCACAGCAATTATGTGATTATACTTTCCCCTCTCCTCTCTCGTGGAGAAGAAGCTTTTGTAGCCAATACTATTGCCTGCTCTCTCTCAAAAACCAAATATTTTCAGACTCCAAATTCCATAATGGCTGCAATTCGTCCGCGTTAACCGATCAAACGTTACATCAGCCATCAACGTTGGCTTTATTCGTCCTCGACCACGAACCCAAAGCTAAACCCTGATCCTCCCTCCTTCAGTCTCTCCCACGTCGTCATACGCACCTCGGCTTCCTTCCTCTCCATCTGCTCCATCTTCTCCAAGACACCTGGGTGTGCCCTCTGAAAGGCCGCCCGGAATTTGGCGTAGAAACCGTTGCCATCAACCACACCTGACACCTGGTCGGGCTTGTCGCGCAGGAACTGGAGTACACTGAGAAGGTTGTGCGCGCCGACGTAGTTCTGCGTTATGGCTGGAAGGGCAAAAAAAAAAAAAAAAAAAAAAAAAAAAAAAAAAAAAAAAAAAAAAAAATATATAAAAAAAAAAAAAAAAAAAAGTACCGCAGTACTTCCCTGATACTAAAAAAATCTCTTAAATTATTTGTTCATTTCTAAATAAAAAAAAAAAAAAAAAAAAAAAAAAAAAAAAAAAAAAAAGCAAGGAATATTTACTAAACAGCTCCACCCTAAAGCAAATGGTATTCTATAATAAAACCAATAGCCCTTGCCAAGTAAATGATTGCAGCTTGCGATTTCACAGAATATAGAAATATTAACATACCGATTGAATCTTCAAGATTTACAACCATGTGCCACCAGCCGTTGGGTACGAACATGACTTCACCCGCACGACAAATGGCCTCGATCGGGCGGGGCCGAATTTGGTTGATTTTCTTGTAAAAATTCAAGTGCCATTCCATGAGTGAGACCGGTGAGGTAACCTCTGCCTCGTCTTTTTTTTTT